CCCTGCCGCACCTCATCTGCGAATATCCATGCCAAGTGTTCCCTGCCGGACCTCAACCGCGAGTATCCACGCCAAGTGTTCCCTGCCGGACCTCATGTAGGAAGATATGGGACAAAGAATGTGCAGAAGAAAGTTAGAAAGAATGTCAGAAAGAATGTCAGAAGATATGCCAGAAGATATGCCAGATAGAATGCAAAATAGAATGCCAGATAGAATGCCAGATAGAATGCCAGAAGATATGTCAGATATATATGCCAGAAGATATGCCAGATAGAATGCCAGATAATATGCCAGAAGATATGCCAGATAGATATGCCAGAAGATATGCCAGAAGATATGCCAGAAGATATGCCAGAAGATATGTCAGAATATATCCCAGAAGATATGTCAGATAGAATGCCAGAAGATATGTCAGAATATATGCCAGAAGATATGCCAGATGGAATGCCAGATTGAATGCCAGAAGATATGCCAGATAGAATGCCAGAAGATATGCCAGAAGATTTGCCAGATAGAATGCCAGAAGATATGCCAGATCATATGCCAGAAGATATGCCAGATAGAATGCCAAATAGAATGTCAGAAGATATGCCAGATAGAATGCCTGAAGATTTGCCAGTAAGAAAATGTATAAATGTCATGGTGGGGATCACACGAAGTAAAGTAATTTACATACTTACATACTTTCATACATACTTACATACTTACATACTTACAAACATACTTGCATGCATGCAAACATACATACATACCTACCTACCTACGTACGTACGTACGTACATACGTACAGACATACTTAGATATTTACATACTTACATACTTACATACTTTCATACATACATACATACATACATACATACATACTTACTTACTTACTTACATACTTACACACTTACATACTTACATACTTGAATGCATGCAAACATACATACATACCTACCTACCTACGTACTTACGTACATACGTACATGCATACTTAGATATTTACATACTTACATACTTACATACTTTCATACATACATACATACATACATACTTACATACTTACATACTTACATACTTACATACTTACATACTTACATACTTACATACTTACATACCTACATACCTACATACTTGCATACTTGCATACTTGCATGCATGCAAACATACATACATACCTACCTACCTACCTAAGTACGTACGTACGTAAGTACATACGTACATGCATACTTAGATACTTACATACTTACATACTTGCACGCTTTCATACATACATACATACTTACATACTTACATACTTGCATGCATGCAAACATACATACATACCTACCTACCTACCTACGTACGTACGTACATGCGTACATACACACTTAGATATTTACATACTTACATGCTTACATACTTACATATTTACATACATACATACCTACCTACCTACCTACGCAAGTACGTACGTACATGCATACTTAGATACTTACATACTTACATACTTACATACATACATACATACTTACATACTTACATACTTGCATGCATGCAAACATACATACCTACCTACCTACCTACGCAAGTACGTACGTACATACATACATACATGCATACTTAGATATTTACATACTTACATACTTGCATGCATGCAAACATACATACATACCTACCTACCTACGCAAGTACGTACGTACATACATACATACATACATAGATGCATACTTAGATTTTTACATACTTACATACTTACATACTTGCATGCATGCAAACATACATACATACCTACCTACCTACCTACCTACCTACCTACCTACGCAAGTACGTACGTACATACATACATACATACATACTTAGATATTTACATACTTACATACTTACATACTTGCATGCATGCAAACATACATACATACCTACCTACCTACGTACATACATACATACAATATTGAGAATATTGTCAGCGTGTGTTGCCGTTGTCATGCTCCCAGAACCGAAGAGTTGGTCGCCTCCCGCGGACCACACCTTCCACAGCTGGTGCATCCGCTGGACCACGACCAGCGCGACCGGCGACCTGGGCGGCTGGGAGCAGTCACGGCACACTTTGGGCCCCTTGGCCCCAGATGTGGTGAGGAATGGGAAGACAATGCAATCCAATTGTTTGTTAATAGAATGGGAGGAATGTGTTGTTACCTGTTAATTGAATACATATTTTTATTAACCAACTATAAGTTGGTAATAGTTGGATATAGTCGGTCATATTTGGTCATATTATTTATACTATATATATATATGTATATATAGTCCCATCCCCATTCATATTGTTCATGGTTCATGGTTTCAAATAGTGTAAAATTCTCACTAAACAATGTTTTTTGGGATGTGTGTGTAGCCTGCTATAGCATGCGGTTTTCCTGATGTACAGATAGCAGAGAGGCAATCTCATGTCTGCAGCTGATTGCCCAACGAAAAGGGCTGCATTCATGACTGATATGACTCTGGGACGCTGGAGTCACGTGCTTGCTCTTGTTCAACTGTTGTCCAAGCTGTCAGTATTAGGCTGTTTAGGTCAACCGAAGATCTCAAAAAGACACAAGTACAATTCTGATTTCATCACTTCAGACTCCGCTGCCTTAGGTTTCGAGTTCTTAGGTCTTAGCAAGGCGACCTGAAGCACATCATTCTCAAACTTCTCATCCAACCTATCACCAGCGTGTGTTTGATGTGTGGAATATTAGGGGAAGGGGTTAGAGTGGGATTATATAAATGCCATGGTTTGAAGCAAACTCTACTGGCTGGTGATTCCTCATTTTTTCCGGGCTCAATCTCTGAGCCATACCCAGCCCCTGACCTTTGCCCTTCGTCAGGTCATGTCCAAGGATAGAGGAGGATGCCAGACGCCGGCGCTCCAAGAATGATGGACATTTGCCGCCCATTGATGCTTCGCTAGGCTTTGCTCGATGTGGAGTGGGGGCTCTCGAAACACGATGCCACAAGACGGTGGACATTTTAAATATTTCGATGGAACAAATGATGAACCATGGCCATTTTAGGGCAATGATAATAATTACAGCTGTTTCAAACAGAAATCTTTACAAGTATAAAAATAGTCACATGTTTGGTGAGACTATCAAAGAAGCCGCACAGAAAGTCCTAATGTATACGTGCCTATACACGTTTATACTTATACCTATCCATGGGTTCATACCTACCAGACTTCGTCCTTTTGCCAAGGAGCATGCTGTGGTGCCTATCTACAGTGACTCTGGCATTTGCAACGATTTGGGGGAAGACTTTGCGTCCCCAACGAAGCAATACATCTACGCCTGCCAAAGGGAGCAGGCCTGGCTCGGCAAACGCTTTATAACACATTATAATATCCATCCATCCATCCATCTATCTATCTATCTAGCTAGCTAGCTAGCAAGCTATCTACCTATCTGTTTGTTTGTCTGTTTGCCTGTCTATCTATCCATCTATCCATCTATCCATCTATCCATCTATCCATCTATCTTTCTATCCCTCTATCTCTCTATCTCTATATATCTCTGTCTCTATCTCTCTATCTCTCTATATCTCTCTCTCTATCTCTCTATCTCTCTATCTCCCTATCTCTCTCTCTCTCTCTCTCTCTCCCCCTCTCTCTCTCTGTCTATCTATCTCTCTATTTCTATCTCTCTCTCTCTCTCTTCTTCTCTCTCTTCTTCTCTCTCTCTTTCTCTCTCTCTCTCTTCTTCTCTCTCTCTCTCTCTCTCCCTCCCTCTCTCTGTCTATTTATCTATCTATCTATCTACCTATCTATCTCTCACTCTCTCTCTCTTTCTCTGTCTATCTATCTCTATCTCTCTATATCTCTATATTTCTCTATCTCTCTATTTATCTATCTATCTATCTATCTAATCTTATCTAATCTTATCTTAATCTAATCTAATCGAATCTAATCTAATCTATCTATCTAGCTTTCTTTCTATCTATCTATCTTTCTATTTACCTATCTATATATCTATCTATCTATCTATCTATCTATCTATCTATCTATCTATCTATCTATCTATCTATCTATCTATCTATCTATGTTTCTAACTATGTTTCTATCTATTTATCTATCTAACTATCTATCTATCTATTTATCTATCTATCTATCTATTTGCTTACATCTTATCATACGTCCTCATATATATGTTTGTATTTACAGTAGATGCATTTGGATATTTGTTACATTTATCCAAAGACTCTATGGGTGATCCAACCTGGGGAGTTTGTGGCAGATGGCCGATGGCCAAGCCATCATGCTAATAAATCCTGCTGGAAAAGGCGCTGGAGTGACATACTCTCTGGTAATTTAACATAGCCAGTGACAATTGCCATAGAAATAGTTGATTTACCCACTAAAAATGGTGATTTTCCATAGTTTTTTGTATGTTTATCAGAGGCTCTGCATTCCGTTTCCCATATTTTGCAGTTCCAGGTGGTGCCCATCCCCAGCAGCTTTGTGACGGGCCATTCCAAGAAGGTGGATGTCGGTGGCAAGGCCATGTGACGCGGATAGATGCCGATGTTTGTTTTAGTTTTTAATGTGTATATAATTAATAAATAACATAAAACAGAGCAAAAGGCTCCACGGATTGGAAAACGATAGGGGACGTCCTTACAAGGGAAGACACGCCTAAAAAATAATATAGAGCCTGCCTCATATACAGGTGCGTGTCATGTTTTATCAAACTTATTTAGCTTCATGCTCATAAGAACTACATTTTTTTTGCATTTGTTTAGGAACGGACAGATCATAATACATTCATGATATGTGCCACCACTACTAGTTTTCCCCAAATTGGATGGCATTTGTTTCTTAAAGTTGCAACCCCTATATATACATTGAACAAAATAACATATAAAACCATTGTTTCCTGTGGGTTTTCCTCGACAAGTCAAGACAAATCAATCCATAGCTTAGAGCTTTACCTAGATATTCCATTAAAAATTATTGGGCAACTCCATGATTTTCCTTTGATTGTCCCATACTTTTCTGTATTTTTCCATAATTTTATCAATGATTTCCAATCTTGTTCCTATGATGTTCTTATATTTTCACATCATTTTCCCATCTTGTTCCTATGATGTTCCTATATTTCCTATCTCGTTCCTATGGATTTCCTATATGTTCCCATCTTTTTCCCTTGGTTTTTCCCAAGAATCCTGGTCTTCCGGAAGGCCCTGGTGGACTCCGACCTGCTGACGCTCTCCGCGGTGGGACGCTCCACGGGGGCCCAGGAGGTGGACCTCAGCGGCGGCAAATTGCTGTCGGACCTGGCCTTGGGACGCTGGGACCATTAATGAACTACTTTGGTCTATTAATGATGGTAGATGATCATTAACCAATGGTAATGGTAATAACTAATGGTTAACCAATGGTAATATTTCCACATATTGGGAATTATAATCCTAACTGCCTAATATTTTTCAGAGGGGTTGAAGCCACCAACCAGTAATGGTCTAACCATTAATGAACTACTTTGGTCTATTAATGATGGTAGATGATCATTAACCAATGGTAATGGTAATAACTAATGGTTAACCAATGGTAATATTTCCACATATTGGGAATTATAATCCTAACTGCCTAATATTTTTCAGAGGGGTTGAAGCCACCAACCAGTAATGGTCTAACCATTAATGAACTACTTTGGTCTATTAATGATGGTAGATGATCATTAACCAATGGTAATGGTAATAACTAATGGTTAACCAATGGTAATATTTCCACATATTGGGAATTATAATCCTAACTGCCTAATATTTTTCAGAGGGGTTGAAACCACCAACCAGTAATGGTGTAACCATTAATGAACTACTTTGGTCTATTCATAGCTGCCCATAAACCATTTAATATTAGTCCATAATTTATCCATAATCACATCAATTATATAATCATGATTTGGCTAATGGTAATCGCCGATGGTAATAATTAATGGGCAACCAGTGGTAATATTACATAAATAATCAATGAATGGTGAATGGTTAGATTGATGGTCTCACCATTCACCATTTATGGAATTAATGGTCTTCATGGATGGCAACTTATGTAATGGTTAATTCATGGTAATTAACGCTAGTTAATGGTAATTAACGGTTATTTTTTGGTAATTTACCCAGATTAATGTCAATCTATAATGATGGTAGATTATCATTAACCAATATCAGTGAATAGTGAATTATTAACCATTTGCCATGAATTTATCAGGTTAGTGAATTATTCTAGTTCACCGAATCGTTCATAATTGATTGTTAATTAATTGTAATTAATGGTCATTAATGGTGATTAATGGTCATTAATGGTAATTAATTGTCATTCATGGTAATTAATGGTATTTAATTGTTAATTATTGGTAATTTACCAGATAAATGTCAATCTATAATGATGGTAGATTATCATTAACCATTTTCAGTGAATAGTGAGTCATTAACCATTTACCATTAATTAACCATTATTACCGTTAATCAGATTAGTTGATTCTTCTAATGTACCCAGGTTAATGCCAGTCTATAATGATGGTAGACTATCATTGGTTGAATCCTTAAGGCACAGTAACCATAATCAATGGTTATAATTAATCATCATAGGGTTAGTATCCACTGGTTAACCTCCCATTAATGGCTGGGAACCATGTCATCATGATACCCATTGATAATCATTAATGGTCAGTGTAGATCTGCCATTGACAATAAACTGATGAACCTGGCAATAAATGGTTAATATGTAGTCCACAAATGGTAGACGGTTTGTGCAGATCAACCATTTTGATCCACTGATGATGTTAAATTATACTAAATAAAGGGTTACTAGCAACGCTTAATAGGTCAGTATCTACCATAGCTGGATGGTTTAATGAAGTAAGGGTTGAACACTCAATACCTTGCGTAATGGTTAACCATGATTTATAGCCATTATAAAGCATGCTTTAGTAATGGTTCATAAGGGCAACAAAAAGGGTTGTATTGTTGGTAAAGCAATAGGAGCCACCATGGCCCATAGCTACATTTGTTTTAATGTGTGGGACGATATAAACCATCAATTTATATGGGTGGTTTTTGGTATTGCTTGACTAACATTACAGGTCGTTATAGGAACCCAAATAAAAGATAGCTCACCATTGTTTTAACGTGTCTATCTTGTTTGGTTTTTTTTATGTATATATATATATAAATATTTAATAATCAGAATCATTAGTTAGTTAGTGAGATTATGTTTACTTTAGTATTTAGTATCGTTTCCAGATTCTCAGAATGCAATATTAGTGATATGATAGCGGTACATGAGATGAAGTACATGTTTTCAATGAGAAATACCAACAGATATCAGATTAGATAATTAATCATTAGCCAAGTCGCAACTTAAAATCGATTGCCATTACCGTAATAATTATATGATTGTTATCGCAGTATGGAAGTATTATTCGTTATTATCAAAACATATTGAGCATATAGTTGTGACTTGTATCTTGATAATTGGCCATTGGCCATTTGTTTGATTCCTGGTGATGAATCATTCTATATGATCAAGCAAGCAGGCACGTGTCCATTAATATTGATTGTAATTTGTTTCCTAATAAATGATTAGTCATTAATTAATGTAAGATAGACCGTCGAAGAATCAGCCAAAGTTATGCGTTTGAGTGTGTTTGTTGTTGCGACCGGTATGGCATGCAATGACTGGCATTTGCATATCAATATATATGTATATATATATATATGCTGCAAACATGATTGCATATTGTGAATTAATGTGAATTATATATTATTCTTGTTGTGAGTGGTACAGAATATACATGCACATATATGTGTATATACACATATATATATATATATGAAATAACTATGCATCAAATTTATGATACTAGGTTGCCTTTCTTGCATGTTTTTTTGGGGGGGTTTCCCATTTTGATTGAAACATGAGGCATGAGGCAACTTGAAAGTGGGGTGAAACACTCCCAGGGGCAACTTGCTGAATCCATGTCCCATTGAACCCCCAAAGCATTCTGGGCATCGAGCCTGCCATTCCATTCAGCTTCAGCAATGGTCATGGGAAGCAACATCCAGCAATGATCATGTTTTGTTGGTAATTCTGATGTAGTTGTTTTGATTTCCATCAATTTCCATCTGATCCCCAGTCCCGAAAAGGGACCTGCTACACCAGCCTCACAAGTCACCTTGAAACTTGCCCTTGCTGAGGCACATTCTTTCAGGACACTCATTGCGGGAGCACTGCAGGGGCCTGGATCTTTCACAGATGTTCTGTTGGGGAAATGTGTTTGAGAAGGAAAGGCGCAATGATGACAACGGTTGATCTCTCAAATTGGTCTTTGAACATCGTTCAACGGTTGATCTTGAAATACGACTGTAAATGAAAGATTTGCATATGCATGCATGTGACGTTATAGTCCTTTGTCCTCTTACTGTAGAACCAGATGCAGAGAGAGAGAGAGAGGGAGAGGCGTCAGAAACCTCAACAAATGTGATCGACCACTTGACATGTCAACGGTTAGAACCACTTTATAAGACCTTGATCAACCAATTTTGGAGGCTTACAACGTGTGACCGATGGTTTTACCAACCCTTTACGGCATGTTTGTTGGTTACCATTAATTATACCCCCAGTCTTCACCAGTAATTATGAACTATAGATTCTGATATTGTTATGATGATATATGGGGCGGTTGCCACATCAATCCCTTCCCCCTCCAAATATTCTGTACTCCTAAACTTCCCAGAATTCAAGGGAAATCTATAGGAAATCATGTCTAGTGGTAAAAACCAGGGGTGTCCTGTAGATGTTCCTTTCAACCAATCCATTGAACACCATGTTTGACATATTTGAATATATTTGATGCTTAAGTCCCCAGTTGTATCCAGTTTTCATGCTTGAATCATGTTGACTTCCCATGTTTGTTGGTGAAACCCTCCATATGGTGAAATTCTGGAGGAAGTCCTGCTGGCGCCACAAAACCTCGGCACCCTGGAGCGGCTCAGCTTGAAGGACTGCACGCAGTGCTCGCGCATGTCGCAGGCAGCACTGGTGAAGCTGTTGCAAGGCGAAGCCGGAGCCCAACTGCGTGTCTGGGACAGCGATTGGTTATGTGAATCATATATGTGTATATGTGTGTACACACTGTACGTATATATATATACACAACTCTGTGTGTGTGTGTTCGTAACTACATAACTAGACTATATATTGTAAAATTACACATGGTTCATGATGCTTTGAGATAATGATTTAACTGTACTTGGTAAGCAGATACGATTTGGCGTTCCGAGTGCGCAACACCCCTTGAGGTGGAACAACACCCCTTGTGGTGGAACAACACCCCTTGGAGTTTCTGTTGCTTTCACATGTTGAGATGTTTTCAGGCTGCAGATCCATTCGCAGAGGATTTATGACTTATCAATACTTATCACTTACGTGATCCGATATGTATAATTGAAGTCCTTGTTGGCCATGTCAATAGAACGCACAAGAAGCAATCTGCAGTTTGCTTCGAAGCTATCAGACCAAGAAGCCCAGAACTTACCCAGACTCTCCTTTGGTAATTTAGCATAGCTATTGAAGCCATGGCCATTTGCAGTTGATTTGCTCATATTGACTTATCAAGAATGGTGATTATCCTTATGTTTTTCCATGTTTACCAGAGGGTATTCGGCTCTGAGGCTTTCTGGACCTCAGTGGAATTTGTTTGTCCATGCGGCAGCTGGATCCTTTCTGCGAAGCAGTGGAGAAGCACCGCAGCCGCTGGGCATATTTGGGCATGGCCTGTGTTCATAACCCGCAGTCGCTATGTGTATATATATATATGTGTGTGTATACATGTGTATACTGTATAGATTATTGTATTAGTATATTAGTTATATTATATAATTATAGCTATAGTTATATTATATTACAGTATATGTATGGGCTGTGGAAGCAAGGTGTAATTAGTAAAAACAGTAGTTCGAGTAGACTGCAAGCCGCTTAAGCATCCGATAGCCAGAGTCGCGGCCCGTGATATCAGGGTGGGGCCCCCAACGATAGCGTTCAGCTGACGCACATAACTCGGTTAACGTTTGGGTTTATGGAGGATTGAATTATAGTTCATGGGCCTTTTAAACCAACTTACAACCCCCTTTAGACTAATGGTGTAATGTAATTTAGTGAAAACTGTTTTCTTCGTGGAAGACGTTGCAACATCCAAACTGAACTTCGACGTTGCAGAGTAGGCTGACAATTTGCCATGTACAGACCAAGGGTCCTTCAATACAATCAATATCATTTATATAATGCCCCATAAATCAATCAATTTACCCAATGTGCCCAATAAGCCCAATTATCCTTTTACCCAATAGTACGTTTTTGTTGATTGGACATGATTAGACCTATATACGCCATTGAATAGGGAAACATGTTTAGTACCCCATGCAAACCAAGAAAAAATGTGGTCGTAAAGGTGCGAACATTGGATATAGTATGTATATGGGCGGGATTGTCCGGGATGGTTTTCGGCGGCCATTGATTACAGCTAGTGGTTTGCCCAAAGGATACTCCATTAACATCCATACAATCCATTGACTAGCTTAGCGGCTGGATATCCATCAAAAAAATACAAAGCACCATCCGGTAATAGATGTACAGTAATAGATTTGCCGACGACGGAGGGAGAGAGAGAGAGAGATATATATATATATATGTATATATGGCAAATCCATCATTAAAAAATCGAACATTTCCGGGAAACAACTACGTATTTGCATATAATATGTTTATTTAATAGTTTTTTCTTTACATATATGTCAGTTAAGATCCATCCAACTCAATTCTCGTGATGAGTTTCCCCATGAAATCTCTCAAAAAACTGCCTGCGAGGCCTCCAAACCCTGAAGCTCTGCAACTCTGGGCTGCGCAGCGCCATGGATGTGAAGCGTTGCTTGCAACGCTTGGTGCACAGCAACGGCGGCATTGCGGTGTTGGACCTTGGATGGTGACTCGCTAGCTGAACAAACCAGTGACTTAGTGGTTTTAGATGTTGACACCTGTGGTTTCAGGGATTTTTCTGTAATGGAAGTGGGTTTTTAAGATTGTTTAGTTGGTTTCTAAAGTGGGTTTTAAAGGGTTTAAGTGGTTTCAAGAGTGTGTCGCGGGTTTAACGAACTGCCCCATGGTAGTCTAACATTATGGACAATCATGTGTTTTTTCCGTTTCGGAAGATATGAACATGTATGAACACATATCTAGAAACGATCGATATTCTGTAATTTGGATTAATTTGGATCATCTATTTGTGTTTTTTTGGAGAGTATATGATGGAGAACAAGTCCCAAACATGACACCTAAACTCTAAACATCATTTTGAACATGGATGATGTTGGTTGGTTCATTTGGCTATGTCCAAAACACTACCGCATGCACCAAAATGATCGAAAGCACTTGGACGTGGGAAATATATGGACATGTGACAACCCTATCTTCACACTTTCCTAGCTGGTACTGAGCTCTTGTGGTTGTGCATCAGCAACAGAACCAACCGGTTTTGAAGGTTGGGGACCCGGCCTTTCACATGGTGTTGTTTTTCTTTTTCACATGTTTTTGTTTTTCTTATATTTTCCCAGGTATAAATGTGTTGATAACCCCCATTGAATACATATATATCAACGGATATATCTGCCGTCCACTCAACTAAAACCAAATTCGCCAAACTGGGGCACCACCTTTTAAAACCTTGCAATAATATAACATAATATATAATAATATATCATAATATACCATAACATATATCAGAATATATAATAGTATGAAATGATATATACTTTTATCCCCAGCATATGCCCAAAAAACATGTCCCAATGATATTGGTATTGATGTCCCCATCTTAAATGGTTGGTGAGGAATTGCTTCACCGATGATGAGCTGAAGTTTCTCGGGGAGCTGGTGTCCAACAACAGCAACTTGAGGTGCCTCACTTATACGGTAAACGAAAAAAACGGTGTGTATGTACATATGGGTATAACATATACACGAAACAATACTATATTATGAATATAAATAAATACATAAATACTATGAATATATATATATATATGCAGTAATCATGTATAGACACAAGTCTCCTCGTGTTACATAGTTGCATTTCACATTTTTATGATCTATTGGAGGTGGTCTTGAAACCGGTGGAAAACTCGGAAGTCTCTGCCTGTTCTGAACTTTCGGTTCAAAAGTAAGGATTATGTGGATTGGGCCTCATCAAGTGCCTTATCAACTTCTTGACATCAGCACCAAAAAATATCAAGATACATCATTTTTCGCATTCAACAACTCGTCAGTACAGTAGCGCAGCAGTTTCAGCGTGGCGGCATTTCACTGAGGCAGTTAGGCCTGGCAAACTGTGCAGCGAGTTCGCAAAAGAATCAGAGTATCTCACCCTGTGTCTACTTTATCGAGCAACTGGTGCCTGGGAAAACCTTGGAATTTTGCGTTTTTTCACTGGTAATGACAGGTTTTTGGCCAGAAATGGGAAAAGACGGCCAAACCTACAGCGAGAGAGAGACAGAGAGAGATATACATATATATATATATACATATACATATTATAGACTATATTGGATATATATAAAATGTATAGTATATAGAAGATATATATATATATATATAGAATATATAACATGTATATAACACACACATATATATATATCATATGTATAGAACATATATATATATTTATATATAGAAAATCATATACATATATATATACATAAAACATACATATATATATATATAGTATTTAAATTAATAATATATAATATATGTAGGTATATGTATAATTTTTGCATATTTTTTACAAAATATAATATATGTAATAATAATAACAACAATAATAATAATGATAATAATATATATATATATTATATATGCATATGTGTATATATGCATGTATGTATATAGATATACATGTATATACTTATATGTATGTAATATATATATACATACATATATATATATATACGCATATATATTTAACATATGATATATATATATACATATTTTGAATTATTTATATATATATTATGACATATTGTGCTATATAGTACTTGGTATATTCAACTGATTTCATATAGTGATCTATGCACCACTAGCCCGTCTACGACCCATGTCCCAGAGTTGATCCCAACGGTTTCGACCATTTTTTATGGGGGGAACGAGTCAAAATTTCAAAAAAGAAGAAGTGATTCTGAGGCTGGATACATTCTTGAACTATTTCATATGTCCATGATGTTCCATTGATATTTATTTGATCCATTTTTGAGAAACCCTTTATTTGTTTGACCTGTCGGCCACTTCTGAACCAGCATAAAGGGCATCCCCTCCCCAGGTGCATGGGGTGTCCTTAGAAAGCCTGGATATCGCCATGAATCGCATTGACTTTCGTGGCGCCTTGGTGACTTGGTGAACTCGAGCCTTGCAACAGGACATAACAGGACTCCACCGACAGATTTGACTGGGCGAACCATTGTTTTCAGATGTTTTTTGGAGTGTAGCACTGTTTTTATCGCCATCAAAGGGGGGCTGAAATCGCAATAATGTCCAACAATGATCTATGCCTATCTATGTAGTTACATGGAATAATTGATGGGTACACTGCACATATTGATTAACCATTGCTCAAAAATCCCAAATCCCGCGCGGCACAGCCATCCAAGTTGAGCCTATGACATGACCATGACCCATCCTAGGTCGTTGAAGATGCACTCGAACAAAGCCGGCGGCTGACCACGCTGACGCTCAGATCTCGGTTGGAAGCCTGCAATTTTGATGGTTGCAGCGTGCTTGACACGTTCAATGCCTATTGAAAACCAATGTGAAAGACAGAAAAAAATAGAACGGTCCAGTCTAGCTGCCTTTATTCCATTGCTTCCATTTTGCTTCCGCAACTTAGTGCAACTGGTCACTGGGTCGCTTGGAACCTCCAAGGCCTAGATGCTTCTCACTGCGGAATAACTGATAAGTTAGGGATATATATATAATATTTGACATGCAGATGTTTGCATTACCATGTCTATATTATATCTATTATATATATATATGTCTCTCTAGGTATATATATATATATTTACATATGTGGTGTATGCATGCTCTATTTTACTCCAATGATCACCCACATGCAGGTCGATAATAGGCTGTACATGGATCATCGCGGATCTACATTGATGATGTGGATTTATATGCAGTCCGTCAAGGTTACAGAGTTGTTCAAGTTGCATATCAGCATTGTTTTTTTGATATGGGGGAAGGAAAGCAGCACTAATTCTTTTGTTTTTGCAACACTAATCGTAATTTACACCATGCTGATCTATCTGGCGTTTTTTTTATAATGTTAACCCAGGATTCATAACCCCCCCCAGTTTCCATGGCATGGTACCAACAATTTCGAATGGCCCTCGCCCAGGAGCGTAGCCCATAATCCCCTGGGGGTTATGGGCCTGCGTAGTTTGCTTCGCCTGCTAGCGCGGGAGAAGTCGGGATTGGTTTCCATCGATGCTTGGGCCCATATTTTGTTGGCTGTGGACTGAGAAATGATGGCATTCATGGCATGCATGGCATTCCCAGGGTGCAAACTTCATTTTCATTCATGTTCTGGGATTATTTTACGGTAATTCTATTCTTTCGACTGTTTCGCAAGTTTTGTTCTGTTTTTTATTTTATGTGGTTTCGTTTTATGTGACGTACGTCCTCGTGAAATCCAGGACAAGACCTCAACGAAGATACGTTAGGGTAGTAGCGGGAAGCTCATCATTGTCACCAGCGTATACAATCGATAAATTGTCGCGGGTCACTATGATTAGTTCTGATCCTCCTGGTGACCACTCTCGAACGGCCAATGCCAAACATGAAAATGAGCTGCAACGAGAACAGCAACCAATGCACAGCAACATATTTGCAATATACTATGATAAAATAAAATACATACACGTAGGCGGCATTTTAAGATGGAGAGAGAGAGAGAGAGAAGGGAGGGGCAGCATTTTGACACGGCCTGCGCAGCTAGCCCGGTGATTGGCTGAAAACAAGGGAACTCTTTTGCATAGCCTCCCCCTCTCCCATGGAAACGAGCACATATGCCCAACTGACTTGCGAGCCGGCATGTTGGAAGATGTTCAAACAATTTCAAACAGATATTGGAGGGGGAAATGGGCAAGTTGGGTGAATATGTTAACATATGTTAAGTAACTATATGTTAACTATGGCCACTAATTAATCCCATCCCCCTAATATTAAACACCTACCAGAACTCATGTTTGGGTGATTTACACATATCTGGGACCATTGGGGCAAGGGAGGCCGCAACTTGACCAGTTTCCACAGCCAAGGACATGGAAAACACCTTCAGTGGTGAACTGATGCCTTCAGTGGAGGGCATTCAGGCAGGAGTCGTCCCTTTTGTGTTAAGGAAAGTTAAGGCCAATGCCATAAACTTACCATTTGGTTTCAATCGCACCAATTTGTGGTCAGATTGGGATGGTTTATCAATATTTACCGCATTATGAGGATACAACGGCGACATGGCGTATGACTCAGTATTGACCCAGTTTAAGACCCTGAACCATTTGACACTTTCTTCTCATCAAACCCCCTTCGACCACCGACGTTCACACCTCTGTCAGTTGCCACTGCGAAGGTCTTCACGTACACAGATCCTGGTGGAAGCTACTCTTTACATTTGGACAGGCCGTATCATCGCAGTTTGTTGCGCATTTTGCATCCTGGCCAATGATTTGGGCTGGAGAGTTACTTCTTTGCGCCAAGAAAAAAATCCAGGTGCCAGGTTTGGTCAGGGATCACCTTGGGTAGCTGCACCGGGAACTTCCAAAGCACATCAAAGCACCTTTGTTCCTACTGCGACATGATGCAATGGCATGGCTCAGCCAAGGTATAAGGTTGGACAAAACTTACAACTGAAGCCCGGGGACACCTGCTACGACATTTCCTATGACTCTGGCAGTTTCACGTTGCCATCACAGACAGGTCCCAGTGGCGTTTGGCCCGTGCCCAACTCAGGGCGCCGCCTGGCGAACACACTAACCATCATTCACCGATGCCCAGGGGCCAGACCTAGGTTTCCAAGCGACCAAGACTGCCAAATACATCCAAATATCCAATATGTTGGGGCCGTTGGGGTTCCTCAAATAACTGAACAAACCACTTTTGCAAATTTTTGCAATCCACAAACACAAGTTTATGTTTGGCGCCTGCACCCGTGATCACGGTTAGGGGAGAGGGACGCAAACTTTGGGACACCAGATGGTTTCAGCCAAAGCGACTCGACCAAGGACTGGGTTTGAGTTTCAGCATTGAGAAAGCCATCCAGAGAGCAGTGAAAGGAGTGCCAGAGGACAACTTTGCAGAAGTCCTTTCTAGGCACTGCTGCCATCGTTGGCTGCTGGATGGAGTGGCTCAACCACTGACCAGCATTTGGCTAAGCGGCTATTAGGCTATCATCCTCAAGTGTGTTTCGGTGACTTTCTTATTCGGATTGGTAAGTCAACAGCATGAAACATGATGTTTGCTTGATGGCTTGAAGCAATGCTTTATTTGTGATTGCTGGTTGGTATTCGAAACATACTGGTATATTCGGGATGTGGTGCTTGATATCATATTAGCATATATTAGCAACACATATACATATATTGTGCATGCATATCTCATACACACATTATGGTTTGCATTTTTTTCAGCCTTATACCTATATCATACGTACATCCCACGCACACAATATATATATAGTACAATATTGACCAATATTACACATATGACCGACGGTTGACACTATATTAGCAGTTTTCATTTGTCATACATATATCATATATCTATTCCAGACATATCATATATCTTATAGTTTTGTTGTAGCATTCGTAGCTTTGAAGCAGGTACAACGAAGTGATGCGCTTCACGCCCCATTTTCGAAAGCTCATTCCCCTATTGGCTCAGTGGAGACTGTTGGAGGGCCATGAACAGGAGATGTGTCAACGATCAGGGCATTTTTTGGAGGCTTCCCTGAAGTTTGATGGCTTGCATTGGGTTTCACATTGTTTTACTATGCCAAAAAACTATATGTTTCACTATTAATTCATGATACGTCATGATTGTGATAAGTATATCACGACACGATTGTCAATGACACTTTGGAATGATTTTTGAAGAGTTATGAGCGTGTATAAACTGTTATGTATCTTGATTAGCATTTGGAATCATGTTTCATGATGATCAGTGTACTGATCTCCCGAATGATTTGCGATTGTGGCTTGATGTTGGGCCAAGTTTTCCACCCGAATCAATGGAGTTTTCCAGCTGAGCTCCATGGGATACCATCTTTTTTTTAATCAACCATCTAACTTTTTGATGTTTCATGGTATTTCGATTTACCTAAATTAATGTTGATCGATAGCCACGTGAAGTCCCACTGATGGCCAGATGGCAGTTGCATCCATGACCATCCAGATAACATTTCGACCCTGCCATGAGTTGCAGAAAGACCATTCTTTCCAACCTAAACCATGCAATTATTAGAGTTGGAGCAAAGCATCAACATATTTTGGTTGGTCAATTCCGCAATTTGTTGCGTTGTTTTATTGGGTTGTGATCATCAGGCAATGTCCTACATTGTATTTCAATGTGTATTTCATTGGTTTAGATGAATCATTGATTTATATAGATGAACTGTAATCAGCTCACACCGTGACGTGAGTGGAATGATGGGAATTGTAAAGGGAGTTGATTGCGGGGAATCATCCCCATAGCTGGCCTTATTTCAGATACTTGCAAATTTGTTCATGCTTGTGAATTAGGGTACTTCAGATTAATTCAGCCAGATTGATAACGGTATATTCTGCAAATATATGTAAAGAGAGAGATATGCAGATATGCATGTATACACACATATACATATATATATTGTTATTATTATTATATTATATAATCTTATATTATAATATTATATTATATGGGTTGTAAGGACGATAGTTCTTTTTCCGTTCCCAGCAACTGCGCCGTACAAATCAAAAATCGGCGAGGAGCAGCTGGCAATGCTCTCAGCCCTCGGACGGGACTTCGCGCCTCGGAGACCTCGGAAAGCATGGCTTACCCGATGGTAATTTGTTACATAGCTATTGAAGCCATGGCCCATAGAAATAGTTGATTTACCTACTATTCAGAATACTATTTTTATGGTGATTAAAACCATAGCTATGTAAACGTTTACCGGAGGTTAGTATATAGTGAATTTACACATATTTGGGACCATTTAGATCCATTTAAGGGGTGTTGAATATTTTGGGGGTGTGATTAAGTATGGTTTCTGATGCTTTATGATAGTTTATGATACTTATAACCTCTTCTAACTATAGTTCATGGGGTTTACAAACCAACTTATAGCTAGGGCCACATTGTAACCATCACCCCTCAGTTCATGGAAAAACCATGGGCCATGACCTTAGGATAGGATCTAGAATCTCCAACCATGACCTTAGGGATTGCCATAATCAGATTCACCATAATCCATTCCCCCTGATACTAAATACTAATTATTCCAGAAACCAAGGGTTAGCAACAGTAAATAATTTGCACATATTTGGAGCCATACAATGGGGGTGAAGCAACCATATTAGAGGGATGTGGCCTTATACATCACATATGCCCAATTATTATCAACTTCTAGTTGGTTATTATATTCCATTACATTTCCTTTCTATCATTGACAATCATAGCTTTTTCACCATGGTCAACCGCACCCCATGTGCCCATCATGACCTCCATGGCATGCCATGGCCCCAGGTGTTTTTAGCTGGTCAACCGCACCCCATGTGCTCATCATGACCTCCATGGCATGCCATGGCCCCAGGTGTTTACAGCCACGCACCTGAGACAACTCTGCAGTAGGGCCATGGTAGGCACCACTGTGGCGCGGCTCCTTCCTACCCTGGCTGCTTGGTGAGGAATAGTGATCTATTTTTAGGCCTGCAACATATATATGTATCTAGAATGTAAGCCAGTGATACTTAGGGCATACATGAATTATATAACCAGGATCAGTCATTCACCATGCGGTCACTAACTTAATGGGGATCCTGCTGTGCCTTGGCGATGAAACTCCCCAAGGTCGGTGGCAAGTTTTCAATGAACATGGCCATGCGAAAGGTGGAAAATGTCAGTGAGTTCATCAAGATGCTGACGTTGTGCAAGGAGTTTCTGGGACAAAAAAAGGCATTGGCAGACGTGGGACTTTTTGTTAATTTGTTTCTCTTGGTTTTGGATGGGCCACTGAGTAAATGATGTTTCCCGTTTACCAACGTTTTCTCAGGTTTACCCACCCTTTGGGGAACCGAGTGGTACTTGTGAGGTTATAGGGTTAATTATTTTTGCAAATGCACATATAAAACGGAATTGCATACATCAAATTGGTTCAAACTGTACTTACTCTATCCTTCATTGCTGTAAGAATTGGCCCAGATACCTGATGTGTTTTTCTTTCGAATGCACCCTCATTATTGGAGGGTGTCCCCGCACTAGGGAAGTTGGAAACTCCAAATGTCAAATCTACAGAGGATTTTACTGACATTTATTTTTCTTGTATGGATATGTACATATATATATACACATAATATTTATGCCCAATTATTCCCAAACGACACCACCAAAGCCATGTTGCACCACCAGCCAGGTGAGGCGTCCCCTTAGATATATCACTTGCGACCGTGGGATGATCCTCCAAGTAGTTTATCATAGATGGCAATCACTTGTCGATGATTACTATAGTTACATTATAGTTGCTATATACAGTAATAGTAGATGATAATGGTGAATTACACATGATTTATGATCATCTATCAATATCTATCAATAGAATAGATGGTTTTCCACTTCTTTTTCGCCACTCCCAAGCCTTCAAGTCTTAGGTACATGCTCTTCAACCCGCACAGCCCCACGGGGCACTACAAGTTGGACCTCAGCAACACGGGCTCCGCCTACGTGGCCCAAGCGTTAGCCTTGTTGGATCGCTGGGAGTCGGGCTTGGCCAAGCGCAAGGACTTGGTGGATATCTCGGAGAATGGGGAGCCTGGGCAGGGCTTTTTTCTGGGATTGAAGCATGAAAAACTGGCTGTTTGGACCATCAAAATCATCAAAATCATCAAAATCCATGTTGATTCCCGCATTAGTGGGATCTTATGGGGATAGCAAACCTAAGAAACGCTGCTGTTTGGAACATTGAAACCCAACATGTACTGCTGAGCAGGGGCTTGGAATCGAATAGATTTAATACATTTCATTGGGCACTTGGATGTCATACCAGTTACGATCCTTGGGTGAGATACCCTCTGGTAAACTAACATAGCTATGGAAAATCACCATTTTTCATGGGAAAATCCACCATAAATGGCAATTTTCCATAGCTATGTTAAATTACCAGAGGATACAGTATATGATACAAGGGTCAAATGAGCTGATCATTGATCACAGGGATCCCGCACCAGGCGTTTTTTGTTGATGTTTCCCACCAAGCGAGCCTATCTGTCACTGAGGATTACTCTTGCGTTCGGAATTGCAACTTGGCTTACCCTCTGGATAAATTGAACATAGCTATGGAACATTGCCATTTATGGTGAAATTTCCCACTAAACATTGTGATTTTCCATAGTTATGTTAGTTTACCAGAGGGTACCCCCTGGTAATTGAACTGGCAGCTATGGAAGATCATCATTTCTTGGAAATCATCGATCAACTGGCATTTGTCCATAGCTCTATATGTTAGTTTGCTGGAGAGTTCCAGCCGCAAGTCATCCGAAACCGGCCACATAGAAGCCTTTCTATAGAGGCCTTTGAATTCTGAAAGTGGCAATCGAAAATCCCCCGTTTATAGATGATTCATGATGATTCAATTGTAATGTTTGATTACCAGAGGGCGCCAGAGGGTACCTGCAAGCTTCCCACGTTGGGAATCCTGGGATCCGGATCTCAGGCAGATATGCCCAGGAGCCACTGCTGGGGCCGGGCTCACACACAGGGCTCCAAAGCTTTGATCAGTGGGCAGCCTGGCGTCATTCGATTCGTCACAAATCCCCTATTTTTATATATGTTTATATATCTTTATCTATGTTTGCCATGGGGAAATGATGGAAACATGATGGAAAGATGGCAAATTGACGCCCCAATCTCACAATTGGGTGATTCGGTCTCCGATTTTCCCATAGTTTTCCAACATTTCCCATGCCATTGGCTGAGGTGATCCCCGAGAAGGAGATCCTGGAGCTGGACTATGTGACCAATCAACGGCCGGATTGCCATGGGACGGTCCCTTGGCCGATACGGTGGCCTTGGTACAGTACGGTACCTGGAGTCGAACTCCAAGTACTCCATGTGCAAAAGCACAGCGAACAAGTACCGTAAGAGCACCAGATGGAAGCTGATTGTTCTTGGAGATGGCTTGACATTTGATAGGAGAGAAGTAATTTTGTTGGAAAGTTTTCGTGATTAAGCTGAGATGTTTGCAAGGCGGTAGCACCTTGTGTGGATTCTGTTCCCCCCGTTGGCCACTGCCCTGTGATTTTTGGCATCTCATTCTCTACATAGATCTGGTGTAGCAGGGTGCTTCTAAGTTTCAGACCCTGGACTTGATTTGGAGTCAAAAGTTTGACTGCCAATTTCGACTGCATGGAATGGGTCAATCCTTTCAGAAGCCCGAGTGCTGGCGAATAAGGTCACATATACACATGTGTATATTAATTATATAAAACGGGCTAGCGCCCGGGTGCCGCCGACCCCTCCTTCTTTGGGACACAACGCTATTATGTGGTCATGCTTAGAGTTTCCAATATGTTTGTCCCGCTTGCCAAAAGTCTGTGAGGAGCAGTATACGCACGGGCCAAGTAGATCACCGACGCGCATGTGGTAACCGTTTCCAGGTGTGGGATGCGCAGGTCGTTGCGAAAGGGTATGTGTATATTTGCCCTGCTTGCAAAGAGAATGTGCCTAGTGACGTGAAGACAGGGCAAATAAACCATCGAACGGTCTGTGGGAACCAGTTTTCCGTCAAGGACGGCGTTGTGCAGGAAAAAGCGTATGTTTACATTTGCCCCGCTTGCAAAGGGAATGTTGCCAGTGACGTCAAGACAGGGCGAATAGACCATCGAAGGGTCTGTGGGAAGCAGTTTTCTGTGAAGAACGGCGTTGTGACGGAAAAAGCGTATGTTTACGTTTGCCCCGCTTGCAAAGGAAATGTGGCCAGTGACGTGAAGACAGGGCAAATAAACCATGGAACGGTCTGTGGGAACCAGTTTTCTGTCAAGGACGGCGTTGTGAAGGAGAAAGCGTATGTTTACATTTGCCCCGCTTGCAAAGGGAATGTTGCCAGTGACGTCAAGACAGGGCGAATAGACCATCGAAGGGTCTGTGGGAAGCAGTTTTCTGTGAAGAACGGCGTTGTGACGGAAAAAGCGTATGTTTACGTTTGCCCCGCTTGCAAAGGAAATGTGGCCAGTGACGTGAAGACAGGGCAAATAGACCATCGAACGGTCTGTGGGAAGCAGTTTTCTGTCAAGGACGGGGTTGTGAAAGAGAAAGGTGGTAAACGGCAAGCTTGAACGCCGAGAAAAGGCTATTGATTTGGCTTTGGGGTATCGTTTGCATTGTGCAAAGGCTGGCAAACGGCAACCTTGGACGCCTAAGAGAATTGATTTGGCCTTGGACCCCCATGACGGGTTGTAAGGGTTTTAAGCGTTTGGAGGGTTTTTAAGGGTTTTTAAGTGTTTAAGGGCTGGCAAACGGCAGGCTTGGACGCCCATAAGAAGACATTGATGTGTGGCCTTGGAGTGCCTGTTGGCCGCAGGATGAAGCATGCCAAGGTTCCCTTGTGTTTAAGGCCTGGCAAACGGCAGGCTTGGACCCCCCATGACGGGTTGTAAGGGTTTTAAGGGTTTTAAGCGTTTGGAGGGTTTTTAAGCGTTTAAGGGCTGGCAAACGGCAGGCTTGGACGCCCATAAGAAGACATTGATGTGTGGCCTTGGAGTGCCTGTTGGCTGCAGGATGAAGCATGCCAAGGTTCCCTTGTGTTTAAGGCCTGGCAAACGGCAGGCTTGGACCCCCCATGACGGGTTGTAAGGGTTTTAAGGGTTTTAAGGGTTTGGAGGGTTTTTAAGCGTTTAAGGGCTGGCAAACGGCAGGCTTGGACGCCCATAAGAAGACATTGATGTGTGGCCTTGGAGTGCCTGTTGGCTGCAGGATGAAGCATGCCAAGGTTCCCTTGTGTTTAAGGCCTGGCAAACGGCAGGCTGCGACGCCCATAAGAAGCCATTGATGTGTAGCCTTGCGGGCCTGGCAAACGGCAGGCTTGGACCCCCATGACGGTTGTAATAAGGGTTTTAAGCGTTTGGAGGGTTTTTAAGGGTTTGAAGCGTTTAAGGGCTGGCAAACGGCAGGCTTGGACGCCTATAAGAAGACATTGATGTGTGGCCTTGGAGTGCCTGTTGGCCGCAGGATGAAGCATGCCAAGGTTCCCTTGTGTTTAAGGCCTGGCAAACGGCAGGCTTGGACCCCCCATGACGGGTTGTAAGGGTTTTAAGGGTTTTAAGCGTTTGGAGGGTTTTTAAGCGTTTAAGGGCTGGCAAACGGCAGGCTTGGACGCCCATAAGAAGACATTGATGTGTGGCCTTGGGGTGCCTGTTGGCTGCAAGATGAAGCATGCCAAGGGAATGTTTAAGGCCTGGCAAAAGGCAGGCTGCGACGCCCATAAGAAGCCATTGATGTGTAGCCTTGCGGGCCTGGCAAACGGCAGGCTTGGACCCCCATGACGGGTTGTAATAAGGGTTTTAAGCGTTTGGAGGGTTTTTAAGGGTTTTAAGCGTTTAAGGGCTGGCAAACGGCAGGCTTGGACGCCTATAAGAAGACATTGATGTGTGGCCTTGGAGTGCCTGTTGGCTGCAGGATGAAGCATGCCAAGGTTCCCTTGTGTTTAAGGCCTGGCAAACGGCAGGCTTGGACCCCCCATGACGGGTTGTAAGGGTTTTAAGGGTTTTAAGCGTTTGGAGGGTTTTTAAGCGTTTAAGGGCTGGCAAACGGCAGGCTTGGACGCCATAAGAAGACATTGATGTGTGGCCTTGGAGTGCCTGTTGGCTGCAGGATGAAGCATGCCAAGGTTCCCTTGTGTTTAAGGCCTGGCAAACGGCAGGCTTGGACCCCCCATGACGGGTTGTAAGGGTTTTAAGGGTTTTAAGCGTTTGGAGGGTTTTTAAGCGTTTAAGGGCTGGCAAACGGCAGGCTTGGACGCCCATAAGAAGACATTGATGTGTGGCCTTGGAGTGCCTGTTGGCTGCAGGATGAAGCATGCCAAGGTTCCCTTGTGTTTAAGGCCTGGCAAACGGCAGGCTTGGACCCCCCATGACGGGTTGTAAGGGTTTTAAGGGTTTTAAGCGTTTGGAGGGTTTTTAAGCGTTTAAGGGCTGGCAAACGGCAGGCTTGGACGCCCATAAGAAGACATTGATGTGTGGCCTTGGAGTGCCTGTTGGCTGCAGGATGAAGCATGCCAAGGTTCCCTTGTGTTTAAGGACTGGCAAACGGCAGGCTTGGACCCCCCATGACGGGTTAAAATGGTTTTTAAGGGTTTTAAGCGTTTGGAGGGTTTTTAAGCGTTTAAGGGCTGGCAAACGGCAGGCTTGGACGCCCATAAGAAGACATTGATGTGTGGCCTTGGAGTGCCTGTTGGCTGCAGGATGAAGCATGCCAAGGGAATGTTTAAGCGATGGCTTTTAAGGGCTGGCAAGTGGCCTTGGAAAGCTAAGAAGGAGAAGTTCCACACCTGCGGTGGTCCCAGGCGCCGCCCCTGCCTTGGCCAAGGCCGGGGTCGGCGGATATATATATATATATAGACATCATTTAGTTCAGATTTGGACTTTAGAATCATTTCACCAACCCATTTGATTTGGTTTTCTGGGTGCTGCAATGCTTCGTAGGTTTTGGATGATGCCGCTTTCAAGCAGTTCCTGATCATTCTGCAGCAAGCCGAATGCGATGGCACCACTCAGATCAAGGTGACACGAAATCTCGTGCCTCAGCACGAACTTCAAACATGTCATTCATCTAAATGCTGCATTAATGGTATGCCAATGGGATATTCATGCTACATTACTGGGACATTGATGGGATATCTGTGGGATATTTTCATGTGATATTCATGGGATATATTATATAAGGACATTCAGTGATTGGATATTGATGGGATATGATGGCCATGTTAGGGGTTATATCTTTGGGGAACCATTGGTCCAAATGATTTTGCGAAATGGTGGGAATTGCCGCACATCGTGTTTCCCATAGTTTCCATCTCAACAGAGTGATTGAGCGGGGGAACAGTGGTACATCATGTGTGGGCAAACGGGTGCTAAGCGATGAAACCTTTCCAAAATTGTTGATGCCCTTTTCATGAACCTTGAGTTTCCGAAATTGCTAATGAATTAATTATGTGCCATTGTTCCTTTCAATATCACCCATTTGTGGGGACAATTTTGATACATAGCCACATTCTTTCAATCGCATCAGTTTCTCCAAAACTTTGGGACTCAAAATGGCCCGTTGTTCATGGCAAACACGGCAAGCTTCACCATGGGATTTTTGAGATATGATACAATACCATACAATATCTATCAATATCTCATGTTCAGACAAATCCAATACCATACAATATCTATCAATATCTCATGTTCAGACAAATCCAATATCATCAATATCTCATAGGACATCCACCATCCCCCAATCAGGATGTTGGCTGGATTTCAGCATCCCTTTTCCTCAGGCTCATTATCTCAACCTCACCTCCATGCAGATGCGTCAGCTGCTTGGGGTTTATCAATACTCCGAGCTCAGGGAAGAAGCGTTGATCACGACCTTTTTCCGTATCATCGTGCCTCGCTGACCATGGAAGATCAGGAAGTTGGAGATTTTCTTTGGGAGAACTAAGATTTACATATTTAATTGACATATAGTGGTTTTTAGATAGTCTTAACCTAAGAATGGGGCCAAGCATGGTTCAGAAGGGAGTGGCTTGATTTTGGGTGGCTTGATATTGTGTTTGCAAGGAGGGAGTGGTCTGTTTAAACGATATGCAATTTGTTCATCGGATAAGCTCTCAAGATAAATTGGAATATCTACATGTGATACATGTTGCTGAAGGGAACAGCCGCTCTCAAAAGATTTTGCTGCTTCAGACAGTGGACTGCGCGAACCCAGTCCGTGTGGTTTCGCCGCCTGAGGATATCCATAATGAGAAGATCTTCCGCGTCCGATATGAAGAGCAATCAGAGCTTGACAAACTCCGTGCGACTCTGGGTTGTGAGAAAAGGCACCATGTTTGGTCATTTTCTTTGGATATCGGATATCCTATGATATCCTTTCAATTTTTGGACCTACTGTTACTGTATTTAAGGTTTGATCAAACAAAGTTGTGGTTTTCATTGCAAACGGTCGTGACACAATGGTGAATTTTCTGGAGAGTACTGGAAGCCTTCAGAAAATCGCAGAGATCTCTCTCAAGGAGGCTGGGATATTGCACCTTTTTCGCTTATATTCAGCCAGAACAAGCTACTTGGCCGTGCTTAGCAAGCCTCAATGTAATTTCATGAATTACCGTTGCCAGTGGCAGGGTGTGTCAAGGCCAAGGATGGTTCGATCACCTTGGATGACGCAGTTTCCTTTGTTTGCCAGTTTGATCAAAACCATAACCTCTCAAAGAATCTCAAGCTTCATTAGATGATACTGTGATTAAACTCTGTGCAGTTCTGGCAGGTCACTTACGACTTTGACTTTGCCAAGTATGACCAGCGGCTGGCTGCGAACGTTTTTTTTGGCCTAGCCAACGCGGAGAAGCGAGACAACATTTCGAATTTCCGGTACACCCATCCTGATGGGACCATCGACAAGTTGGAACAGGGAGTTCCGCGCAGTTGGGATACCTTTACACGAAGCTTGCTGATCAACTCTGCTGACAGCTGGCAACATCCACTTTTATTTTTGGTCACTTAAACATACTGGTATATAATATATATATATATATAGTAGATAATTATAGATACATACTTATATAAATATACTTCAATGATTTTAAATGCGGATGTGTTTATTTACGTGCCGGGCATCCCGACTGCATTCCGACTGCATTGCGTATCATTCCATGCTCAGGAATGCCTAAGGAGGGCACCTTTCATTTTACCTACAAGTGTTCGCCCCAAGACCGGAAGTTCGCCTTGCGCAAGAGCTTGTTGCATCAGTACGGCAAGTGGAAGGTGGACGTCAACGAAGACCAGGTGACCTGGTGGGCGGCAGCCAATGAGGCGCCCGAAGATGTCCTGGAGTTCTTGTTTTGGATGACGCCTGGCGACAAAAAGGGAGACTTCCATATCCTTGGGTCGGTGTTAACTTAAGACATGAAGTTAAGATAGTTCTGAAATGTTCTGAAGAGTTAACAAAAATCTTAAAAGATGTGAAAACCTTGAGATGAACAATTCTTTGGCCGGGAGTTGAACCGCAAGATATCACTTTTGGAGACCGGGAAGGGTAGATGTTGGTGACGTAACTCCCCTGGGTGATGATGGGAATATGATGAAGCACTGTTGGTATGGCGATGGTTCTATGACCAGAACCAATTGAATTGATGAAAGCGGAACATGTGAGTGATGCAATTTATACTGGAAAAAACACATTTCTCAGTGAGAATAGGTTGTATGGTCGGAGCGGAGCGTGTATTGTAGAGTAGTGACATACTATGACATAACAGTGCGGAGCGTAGTGTCATGTATTGTTTGCGCACATCCCTGGGAATTTGTATATATGATAAACGTGATACACCGTAAGCAAAGGTTTGGCCACCCCCGAGTCCAGTTGACCTCTGTCTGGAAAACGTGGTTTGAAGTGGAATACTTTGATTCCTTTTTTCTTTTGCGGTATGCAAATAACAAAGACGGAATAATGTGGCCTGCCGAAGCTAAAGATGTTCCTTACAGCACAAAAGATAAAGTCTTAAGTCAATTCTGGATATCCATTCATTAATCCAATGAAATCCATGTACATCCTTTGGCGAAGGAGAGCAAAGTTCAAGGATACGCGTAAAGCCTTTGAAGCCTTTGATGGTCCAGATGGCAATGGTGTTCTGGGCTTGAGGGAGTTTGAGGAGGGCATGAGGTGCCGGGCTGGTGTGGGCATTGGAAAAGGTAAAAAAAAGTTAGGCTACAAACAACCCACTACCATTTATGTGTCTATGATTTTTTTGGATCCAGCCACATACAGGAACTTTTAGTAATTAACTTAATTCATTCCAGGGACCCGAACCTCTCAGCAACGTTGAGGCAGCTGAAGTGCAAGAAGTTCAAAGGACTGGTGGCCCATCGTGACCTCAGCGTTTTTTAAAACGGAAAAGCCGCAAAGCTATCGAAAATCACCATGTTTAAGTATGTTGAATAGGTAAAGCATTTGTAAATGGGCCGTTTTCAATAAATTACTGGAGCAGAACTACTCTCAACTCTTAAGAAGCTGGCTGGATGTGTCTATTGTTTATTGGGCGGCGTTTCAAGTTGAATGATGGATTCATGGAAACCTGTGCGTGTTGCGTTCAGTGTCATATTTATCATGTTTGGGACCGGAGACCAATTTGTTGGTGCTGGACTTGTGTCGGTTTCAATCTGAATCGTCCAAGGGTATCGGCAAAAATGCTTTGGACGTGCTGAACCAGGGTGGGTTAGTTAGTTTTTGTTTAGCATATATCATTGAATTACAATCAGTTGGTTTGCCAGTTGGCCAGTTAGCTAGTTACTGGTGAGCTAGTAAGTGAGTTCGCTAGTCCGTCAGTCAGTGAGTCAGCCAGTCAGTGAGTCAGTCAGTAAGGGCGTGACTATTATGTATAGTTTGGATTAATTTAGCTTAGTTCTTTGTCTAGTGCGTTATATATATATATGTGTGTGTGTTATATATATATAGAGAGAGAGAGTTGCTGTACTAGTGCTTGAAGTTAATTCTGGCCCATCCCCTTTTTAAAGCATTCCTTCTTTATAGCATCTCCTACCTGATTTCCCGCGGCCGCATGTCGCTGTGCCGTAGGAAAGGATGAGAAGCAGCGCTGGACGGCCATTTTTCGCTTTTTGGATCCCAGTGGGGAAGGCCAGGTGTCCAAAGATGAGCTTCTTGGAGGGTCATGGCCTGGGGGAATCCTCCCATGGAGTAAACTGACAGAAAGATTGAACCAAGGTCACGATAGTGCCACAATACTAAACCACCGGGAGCCCAGAAACCATGCTCAGCCTGCTCAAGCAGAGGTTCCAACTGCGCTTCCAAGTATAGACTTGGAAATGATTTGGATATATTTGGACGGTCAGTCCGCAGCCATGTTGAATTTCCCCATGGGTGCCTCATTCAAGTCCCTCAGCCATATTTCCATCACTGTCCATGCCATCCCTTGCCTATTTGAGTCCGAGGTTCTTGACCTTGGACACGTTCTGGGCGGAAGTCGAGTTCTCGATTTTCGAGTTTATGGATTGGGCGAGCCGAACCTTTGGCAAAGATCCCCTGAAGCGTCTCGGCATGTGAGTGGCCAAGGTTTTGCATTTTGCACAAGCTGGGTGCTTGTGCGATTTACCAAGATTGCCGTGAGTTTTGCTACCAACATCATCCAACATCTACCAACCAAAGTATAGTTCTATTGTGGCTTGTCGCTGACAGCAAGGTATATATTTTGTCCTCCTTCCCATGCGTTGTTGTTCCACAACCAGCCCATTTATGGGAACCACCAGGTATGAACCTTTGAAACAAAAATGATCAAACTTGGATGTAGCGCGTTCTCATCCCAAGGAAATTGTGGCGAGCCTTAGATGAGGACGGTGGGGGAAGCATTCAGCGTGACGAGTGTGAGACTTCCTTAGACAAAGTGGGATATTTTGGCCCATCAGGACCAATCTTCAGCCGCTTGGACGTCCCAGGACCCCCCAAGTTTTGAGATGCAGCTGGTTACCGGTTTTTGTTTGTTGCGGGAGCCTTTCATATGCCGCATTTGTCCAAATGTCCATCTAAATGTCAATGCTAATCTATAATTGATATACATTATAATATATATATATTATAAATTATATGATTGTATTATAATATGTATATATATATATATATTTACATATAGACGGAAATTCCTCTATAAGATCAGACATGCTAGCTGTTTTGATTTTGGTTTATGTACGTGGAGATCCCACCAAGATTTATATATATATATACGTATTACACATAGATGCACACACCTGTGTTATACATCACATATACGTGGACCTTCCAAGTGCCCGTAAAAAAATGCTGAAAGTACTATAGAAATTATGGGCGGAGTATAATACCACTTATGGGTACTGGCCACATATCCATATGTTTCATATGGTGGCTTTCAAAAACAAGTGGGTGTCGAGCTGTGTTGCCTGCCCAAGCTTGATTGAGGTTTTATAGACGATGATGATGGCGGAGAAATCTCCTGGAATGAATTCCAGATGTTAAAGGGCTTTCAGCCATCTGATCGTACTTGACTGGTTGGTGCTTTGAACGATGTTTCTCCAATCCCGCTTGGGATGATGAACCATGATTAACCCACAGTTGGAGGGGTTGTAGCAGCATGTTGTAACCACCAACCAGTTGATCTTCAACGAGTTTGAATTATAACTGCTGCATATGTCCCGCAGAGCTGGGAACTGGCAAGCATCCGAAGGAAGCTTCCGAAGGCAGCATCCAAGTTGCAGCATCCCGAAAGGGACTTCGTGTTACAAAAAAGGACTTGGTCCTGGAAGACCTTTGCGTAGCCGCTGGCGTGCCATTTGGCTGAGGTCTTGGGGGCAGTCAATCAGCTTGAAAAACAGTGACTGCAGGCGTGAAATGCCTTGCATTGAAGAGACCCAAGACTCTACCATTTGGAATTCGTGCATGTGGCATGTGGTGGGGAGGTGGAGTGGTATTCTCACATACTATCCCTACCAAGGAGAAAAAAACATGGGCCACTTGAACACAGTGCACCCAGGCTGAGCAGGCAGCTCTGGCAGCCACCTTGCAGAAAGAGCTGGCTCAAGTCAAAGAGGACGCCCTTGAGTTTTAGACATCCCGAAGGGTACTGCAACCACCGGAACCACCCAAAAACACAATAGAAAGGGGTTGAATTACCATATATTACAATGATTTCCCACTAGAGTCGGATTTACTATACATAATCCAACATTATTTTGGGGAGGGTGCTGCAGATAGAATTTTAAGTTGGACCATCCAGAGTCCAAAAACAATCCATGAAAAATGACGTTGGTGGCCAGTCCAACGACTGCAGGATGGAGAAGCAGATGATAGGAAGCATCGGCATGTATATATTGATTATATTATGGAATATGTGGGTATATGGGGGTGCATGTTACATAGTGACATATATATATATATATTATACTTACATAGTGAGTATAAGTTTGAGTTTGATAGATGTTTGATCGTAGTAGACAAGCGGGAGCGACAACGTCAGATGTGTTTCCACATCAACAACGCAACACATAATGGGTATGGCTCAAACATGGCACACCATGTCCCTCCGAAACCTGGCTACCGTCGCAGGAGTTGCAGGCCAGTAAAACCATGGAGAGCCAATTGAGGTCGAGGGCGAGAGGACGTTTGCTGTCAATCTGCAACCTCCAGACAAATACATATATATATATATATACATATATGTATATATATATATATGTGTGTGTGTGTGTCATCTTATGCTTGTCAACTGCTTAGTGGTTCTTGGACTTTCTAGTCAGAATGATGAAGCCAGTTGGGGTTGTCACCTGAATCCGCCCGCCTTGATCACGACAGGTCGCAAGTGGAAACGATGGCGACAAAGGAGCCATCTGAGGCATGGTAAAAATGGCCAGAACCACCCGGAAAAACAGGGACAATTGCGGACATTCTATAATCAGAGTGCATCAGAGTATTGGGGGTGGTTAATCATTGGGTTTACCGCATGAACGTGTTTTCACCAATCATGATTGCATCCCCCACCTCATCCCAGTTTATGTCTTCTCAATCACAATTGCACCCGTACCATTCCCAATTTGTGATGATGTTCCCCAAGATGACACGGAAACGGAATTGAGAGGGATTAGTCGGCCACAGAATGACACAGCTTAGCCTGGTCTATCAGGAAGCGAAGAAAGAAGCCAAGGAGCCACGCTGGGCTTTGTGAGGAAGATGATTTTCCTGCTAAAACTATCATGAAAAAATCAGTTGTTCAGGGTTGTTGAAGTTGCTTACCTTGACATCTTTCTGTGGTGCCCAAAAATGTCAAGGTAATCAGCTCGAACACTGATTTGGGACAGGATCCGGAGCTTGAGAAGCTCAAGGCCTTGGAAATTGATTTCAGGCTTGCTGGATGGTCCAAAAAATTGGTGATGTGACGTGTGACATATAACATCTGACCCTCTAAGTACCTATAGAAAAAAGAGAGATATACCATGAAATACCCATTAATGGTTCCAAGACTTTTACTGTACATACTTTTGCCCTTCGCCATTTTCATGGGTACTGGAGGGTCTATGTACGGATTAGCTACAGAAACCTTGGGGTGTCCCTGTCCCCCAAAAAAATGCTTTTTTTTCCACAAAAGCTGTTTGACCACCCATTAACCAATGGGATTTAAGGGGCGCAATATATAACAAAAGAGGAGGCAAAAGATGGGGATCTGACCAAGACTGATGGGTCAGAGCGCGGAGAACATCAAGTTGACAGCCTGAAGTAGATTTTTGGCGAGTGGAAAGTATCATTCAAAATCAATTTTTTCAGTGTTGGAAACGTGGAAAACGCCACAAGTGGTCCCCACGTTTCCAAGTCACCGGATCTCAAACGTCGCCGCAGGGCTCAGCTACAAATGCTGCAGCAGGTGGGTGAATCCCCGGAAAAATGTGTGATATGCGAGGTGGGCCCCCCAAACCACCATGGGAAATGGGATTTTCATGGTGATTTAAGCAGCCAAAATGGTGATTTCACCAAGAAACATGGGGATTTGTAGCATTTTATAGTTGATTTATGATAGCTACGTTGTTGGCTCAACTAGTTCTTGAAATATGATCCTGTATGATCCTGGCCTTGTGGCTTTCTTTCCGCTTCAATCCGAAACCTTAGAACCCTGAAACTCCAACATGGATCAAAATGCCCGAAGCTATAACCCAAGTGGTTTGAGGCTCTCCAAATTTGAGACTTCTTTTGACTTATCACGCTAGGAGTTGGACAGCAGCAAGAGCTCAGAAGAGGCTCTGAGGATTGGAGTGTGCTGATGTCGCGTCGTTGCGATGGAACTGGTGCGTTTGTGACCAAGAATCTGGTCAACCGAACGGTAGAACATAGCCCATTTTCCCATGTGGGGTTTATTTTCAATACACATTTTCTGTGTTTCTGTGTGTATGCCATAACCATCCCCACCATGGGGTGGGCTTGACGGCTGGAGGACCAAGCTTGGAAGCAGCGAGGAAGAAGCAAAGAAGAGTGCCGTTGGGATCTTAGGAAAACCATCGCTGTACTAGCCAAATTCATGGGGTTCCCCTGGTTCCCCTCGAAATTTCCCCTGGGAAACTCTGCTAAGGCACTGCTGCATTTGCTTCATCCGTCTACTTCATCAGTTCTTCTCCTATCCAAGGTTAAACATCAGATTCTGTGCATCCTCATCAGGTTTTGTCTCAAAATTTGGGATGCCCCACGGCCATGGTTTACCATGGGGAGACGGATATCTAAAACCATGGGATGGACTTGATGTTTTCGTTCCATCATTTTCTATTTTTCAGCACATGGTTCATAGATTCATAATCTAATTATCGATGATATTGATTCTACTCATGATTTTCCATGATTTGTTCCACATGTTTTCAATTGTGGTCCATCATGGTCCATCATTCATCGTGTCGGGGCCCTCGTTTCGCCGCGCTCGCATGCGCTCGCCTTCTCCCAGGACCTGGAACAGGAACTGGCCAAGCTCAAGGAGGAAGTCCGGCGCCAGTGGGTTATTAATTCATCGCGTAGATACCTCGCCCCTCCAAGTACTGTACCAAGAAAGGGACGTAATCTAACTATCTATATATATATATATATTTATCTATTGGTCTTTCTTTTTTTCTTTTGTTCTTAATTTCTTTCTATCTCTCTCTCTCTATATCTGTGAAATTTCTGTATCTCTCTCTCTCTCCCTCTCTCTCTCTCTGTATATATATATATATGTGTGTGTGTGTAAGTGTATGTATATGTATCTATCTATCTATCTGTCTATCTGTCTATCTATCTATCTATCCATCCATCCATCCATCCATCTATCTATATACTTGCATATATGCACAAATATGTACACGTTTTAGGTGTGACTTATAGCATTACACATGCAATCAAGACGCTTACCCCCCCAACAACGGATTGATGAACATAAGGTGTAGGGTGTGAATTCCAGGGTGTTAGTGTTAGGGTTCCGATTTTGTTTCATATCTAGCTTTCAGAAGGGGGATGGATTCTTCTGCCATCAGAACACGGCATAGAAATCAGGAAACATGCCATCAGGAACCGGTGAAAACTGCGGGAAACAACAAACAAGGGGATGAATCATCAAGCGGAGGGATTGTACAAATCGTGAAACTTCACCATGTGGATGGCAAAGTGGTGAACCCAATGATACACCAGAGCCCATCCAATCTCACTTTTGTGGCTGATATTAGTTTAACACCATATTTGGGTGTGTATATATATATATAGACACGATGTACTGGTATGTATGTAATGTAATGTAAACGTGAATTTAAATCTTAATGTAAAGTAAAGTAAAGTAGTGTAATGTAATGTAATGTAAACGTGAATTTAAATCTTAATGTAAAGTAAAGTAAAGTAAAGTAGTGTAATGTAATGTAATGTAACGTAATGTAATGTAGTGTAGTGTAATGTAATGTAACGTAATGTAATGCAATGTAATGTAGTGTATGTAATGTATGTAATGTATGTGTGTATACATATATACATATACACATATATACATATACACATATATACATATATACACGCAAAAAGAACGTTTACTTTCCACTGGATCTACCACAGTAAACTACAGGGTTATGTTGCTGTACTTACACCGTTGGACAAGTGTTGAAAGAAATGCTCTTGAGACTAGGGAGTTGGAGATCCTTTTGAAGGCACCACCTCCTTTTTCCCATGAATGGTATAGGATCTCCTGGTCTGTTTTGTGCACCTGCAATTGTCACTCAAACTGTGTGGATGTCACTAATGTGCAGTGCTCGTGATGCCCTTTTTGCTGCAGCCACACAAAGCAACACCGAGGGTGAAGATTGAAGATCAGTAGATCATATGTAGACTTGAGAATTGCTCGGATATTGTTTTCTGGCCAGTCCTAGTAGTTCAGGTGTATAAACATGTATCGGTTGTCCATGTGCTGGTGTGATGAGAAGATCAGGTCTGTCCAAGCTTTCAATCACCATTTCAATAAATTTCATAGGTTGTTGTAAATTCATGTAAATTCATTCTATACCCGGAAAACACCAACGTCACCAAAGATTTGCGGTGTCGCCATGTGACTTGCTGGGCATGGCGAGGCCTTTCTGGTTGGGGTTCCATATATATATATATAATTTATATACATTATATATATATAAACATTATATATATATGTATGTATTATTTTCAACCGTAGTCCGGATGACTGGTCGAGATTTGGAGTATTTTGGGATGGGTTAAAATCACCAGGTGTTTTCAAAAAGGCCGCCTTGGCCCTTGCCCAGCCCCAGCTGAATGGTTGCACATCGAGGCTTTCAGCTGGTCGTTTTTGGATGTCTTTGTAATTATCCTTAGTTAAAATTCTGAAACTATGGCTCGTTGCTGCACATTCTGGCCAAAAGTGCCACCGATGTGGATTTTAGGGTTCGTTTTAATTTGAACCCAGAAACTGTGTTTCAGGGTTGTTGACATCAAGAATGCTCAAACCATGTAAACCTGACCATACTTGTGGTTCATTCAAACCACGCTGAATTTGTTTGACATCTATTGACAACTACTGATCCCTTTCTGTGTTTCTGGCTATAGGTCCGCACGTTACTTGAAGCAGAATCTTCTCAGTCACCCCCGTCTGACTGCCAGTTCCAGTTCAGCTCCGAGTTCCGGCTGGGAAGCCAAACTGGGGGTCATCGCAATGCAGCATGCTTAATATGCATAGAGAAACCCACGAATATATATATATATATATATACATATATATATATATACATATATATATATATATACATATATATATATATATACATATATATATACATATTATATATATATGGGTTTGTTTGAACATGTGCTTCCCCCAATTCCAAGGGATTCTCATCATTTCCGAGTTAAACGTATGCTACAACTGCGATTTTGGGTCAATATTTCCATTTTGAATGGTGTGGGCACCGCGTTTCGGTTCGATACACTCGAAGTTACATGTTTTCCCTTTGATGACGCAGAAACGTCGCTTCATGTCGAGTTGGGTGCCACAGGAATTTGGAGTCCATTTGGAGACGCACCCACAAGAATCACTCATTTTTATTCATTTTTGGTCTGGGATGTCTGGGCTTGCCAGTTGCCGTTGTTCAACTATTTTGAGAAAAAATCGCTTCAACTCCATTCAATCACTCTGCTGATGCATGCAACGTTGGTACCTGAACAACCTCAGGTCCCACTGCATAGTTCCGTTGTAGGAATTGGACCTATAGGACCTAGGACTTCTATATGTATGAATGTATGTGAATGTATTTTGATGTATTTTGAATTTTGATGTATTTTGATGTATTTTGCCTTTGCCTGGAAGATTTTTCCAGTTCTTTTACCCTATGGAAAGTATCAACAGGCTGCAGCCAGACTTGGGTCAGCGGCCCTGAGGGGTTCGGGTTGGGTGAGGCGAGGCTCCAAAGAAGGCGCTGGTTTGTCGGAAATTTGGCTGGTCGGGTTACACCCAAAGGGATGCGAACAGATCCAATTGAATTGGATAAACTTTATTGTCTTCCAGTGCTGTACCTGTGTAAAAGTTGTTTGGCCGTTAATTTCAAAGCATCCGATCCTCCGATCATGATCAATTTGCTCGCGAACCCGTGCCAGCTACCTAGACTCTAGACACAACATGGTAAAGAGCCCCCGTTTTTATCTTGTGGTGCAACCTTTTGGTTTCGCAGTTTTGAGGTCTCAGACTCAAAACTCAAAACCGTTCATTGAGGGATCCTGTAGCAACATGATCAACATGGGGGAGTTGCAACTCGTCCATGCTCTTGGTCTGGAGATTCCCTCTCAAAAGCTCTTGGATCGTCTTGGCGACCAAGTGCTGAACCCACCATGCCCCCGAGCTCGAATTCCTCTCGGGCCGCGTAATCAGCTGCACCAGTTTTACCAAGGATATCCCACAGATTCAGACTCAGACGACGATGAGGACGATG